TTTTTTGAGTACTTTGACTAAGAAAAATTTTCTCGCCCTACTTCGAAGGAGCAAACAGCAGAGACTTCATTCTCAAAGTCTTTGAGCTATAACTTTTGTGAAACATCATCTTAAAGTAGTGTTGAAGTGTATAGTAGAATTTGGACCCCCCTCTCCCTACAGATGTGGCAGATACATGCGGAAAGGATCATCACAGACAGGACAAAGATTCTTGGGAATGCCTATTCATATACAATCAAAGACAGTATATCAATAATGTCTCGTTATAATATATGAACTACTTCTTTATTACATTTCTAGAGGATTAAGTAAAAAGATAATGAAGAAATGTGTCTCAAAGTAAAGAGAATAAAACAATCTCCATGTGATTAGCAACAGCAACTACATCGTGTTTCAAATTCTAATCCCGCACGAATTATGCTAACAGCTTTTGACACATGTTGAAGTCTGACGTTTCCTTGCCGCTCTATCCTGTAGAACATCTACCCTTAACCGAACTTACCCTACCCTGCACATCTCTATTCACGGCCAATCTTCAGCGAACTACACTCATTCTACAAAAAGCTTCAAAGTGGAAAACACAGTAAATTCATATAAATTTTCATACAAACAACAGAAAAACAGTCTTTTAGGTCTATCGCGCAATGATTGTCGTTCGTAGAGAGCTCGAGGATATCTTATTTTATTTGGAAATGTTTTTTTGTAAAATGATTCTGAGAGTCTTGATTTTGCAGAACTTTTTCTCGATACCTCAGGATTCGATTTTGAAATGAAATAAATTGTCTTAAATGTTCAATTTGATCTGTTCATTTATTCTATATAACACGGTTGCGATTTCACTCTTGACTTTTGAGTTTTCAATTTAGAATTTTTCGTTCTCTTTTATTATTCAAGATGATCATTTACTAATTATGCAAATGCATAAGATGATTTTTAAGCAAAAAAGTTATTCATTTATCCTTCTCATGAAGTTAATACTTACAAAAAAAAAAAGACTTTAAACACATTATTAAATAGTGATGACCTTCTGTTTTTACGAATGAAATACTTCAATTTCATTGTATAGAATAATACAGATTTTAATTCAAATAAAAAGTAAATGCAATTTTCTTTTTTTGTTATGAATATCAAATCTGTTTTATACAATATGAATTTATCTTAGAACATCAATTTTGAAAAAAATGATATCATCTTTCATTTATTTTATAATCGATAATTGTTGTTTTCTTTATTCTTGTTTTATTTGTTTTGAAATTTGAAGATCGAATACATACACACTTTAATTCTTCCTGTTTCATTCCAGAGAAGAAAAAGCAAAAAAGAAGGGAACTGAATAAATTGTCCAATATTGTTTAGTTTATCTACTTGACACGTTTAGCAGGAATACCACGATGATTAAGTTCATGTTCTATTTGCATTGCAGCACATGGTGCTACGCAAAATGCTGTTACACAGCAATCTTCTATTAAACTTCCCTAAAAGAAAAAAATGTATTAATAGATATATATATAAAACAAAAAGAAAAAGATATTTATTTACTTTAATCTTAAAAGCTGTTCGAACTTTTGTTCGTACTGCCATCAATGAACATGGATTGAGACAACATGTAAGTAAATGATCACCTGCACGATCAGTTAATTGAGCTGTAAAGCATGGAGCACAGCAACATGCATAAGCCGCTAAAACAAAACAAAAGAACAATTCGATATCATATTGATATAGTCTATTGTACAATAATGATATTTCTACGTACATCGTGGACATGGTTTAAATGAACCAAAAAGAGTTTTTTGCCAATTATCAGTAAATGGATAAAGGTCAGTTGGATCTACAGGTTGTCGTAAAACAGGTTGACTATATTGAAATATTTGATAATTCGATGAACAAAAAAAAGGTAAACTCTACTATACCTTGTCATAGTAGTTATTCTTGTTAATAAATCGTTTGACGATGAAGACACAACAAGTTTTCCCTATAAACAAATGTTGTTAAGAGAGAGAGAGAGAGAGAGTCGTACGTAAATCGTTTAATTACTTCTCTTAAACAATAAATCAATAGGAAAGAAGAAAGAAAAAAGTTCTCGTAAGTAAACTTACTTCATTTCATCTATAGTATACAGAGTCCTTCTTTTCTTTGATATTAACAAAAAATATCGTTACTATGACAAAAATAATAATAATTATAAAAGAAAAGAAAAGAAAAAAATCATACAACAATAGAAAAATAGAGAAAATGAATGATTACATTGACAACCAAAATGGATTAAATTAGATTAAGATCTATTACAAAAAAAAATACAGAAGTTTTGTTTTTCTTTAATTACACTCATTATATTGATTAAAACGTTGTTCACATTTCCAGTATGTTTACTCTATTTTTTTGTTTTCGAAATATTTCACAGTCTTTGAGATTCAAGTTCATTTGCTATTTGTGCACAAAGATCACTACAACCTGAACCTTTAAAATAATGAAAAATAAAAAAAAAACTATTTTTTTTTGTTGTTATATCAACCGTACTGTTCTGTAATTTTGTTCGGAGATAAGCTAATGAACATGGACAATAACAACAACCAATAATTGTTGTTTTACTTAAATACTTTGCTAATTTATGACCCATGCAACGTGCAAAACAACGTGACTATTATAACATAAAAAAAGGATTAACAATAATTAATGTCAAAACTTGGTTTACAAAGAAATAATTCTGTTTACCATTGATTTTTAAAAGACTATACATTATATAAATCATATTGTTGTTTAATTACAATTAGAATGACTAAATAAGATTAGATAATCGAAGAAAGAACAAATATATTTTATAAATCTCTCATGGAGTATGATTCATTTTTTTTTGCTTTTTGTAACTTTTATTCACATTGAATGTAAATGTTCTAAATCAATGTAATTTTTCTTTTTTATATTTGACGAAAAAAATCAAGATGAAATTATATGATTTAAAAAATTCAATAGTTTTCATACAATTATGATTGTATTATTGCTGCTGTTGTTTTTATTTTTTTTGTGTTTGCGTGAAAATAAAATAGAAATAAATTATTGAAAA